GGAGGTGAGGACTTCAACTTCCCCTTCGAGGGGACACCATTTAACCCACGACACAGATGTTATCGAATGTTCTGAAGGCTTTTGCATAGCAGAATCGTCAGGCTGATGGTGGGAGTCGGCGGCTCCCACTACACCCCGCCAGCTGCCTCATCCCCTGTTGCTGACACCTGGAGTCGATTGTCAGCCCTGATCAGAGAATTCCAAAGCACACTTGTTGGTGGGGGTGGGGGATTAGGGAGTGGGGGATAGGTTGAGGATATCATGAGCTATTATCCCACATTTCTCCGACCAGGGCATCGCTTCAGGAGACTTTGCCTGCTAACTAATAACCAGTATAGTAAAGTCACACTTCTTTCTTTCTCTCTCTCTCTCTCTTTTTTTTTTTTTTTTTTTTTTTTTTTGAGGCAGGGTCTTGCTCTGTCACCCAGGCTGGAGTATAGTAGTGCAATCATAGCTCACTGAAGCCTCAACCTCCTGGGCTTGAGCAATCCTCTTACTTCAGCTGCCCAAATAGCTGGGATTACAAGCATGCACCACCACACCTGGCTAATTTATGTGTGTGTGTGCGTTGCTTTTGTTTTTGTTTTTTTGTAGAGATCGGGTTTCGCTATGTTGCTCAGGCTGTTCTCCAACTCCTGGGCTCCAGCAATCCTCCGGCTTTGGCCTTCCAAAGCGCTGGGATTATAGGTGTGAGCCACCACACCCAGGCAACATTTCACTGGAGTTCAGATTCTATAAACTAAAGTTCTGCAAAGTAAAAATCACGTACAGTCAATATAATGCTTGGAAGGGACGTTAAGAAGTTCAAACACCAACGATCAATTCCTTTTGTTTGTCTTTGCATTTGGGCGGGCTTTCTCAGGGACAGCGGAGGTCAAGGTCTACCTTGGGGTCTCTGTGTCAGCCCCTGTGTTGTGTGGCCGGGGCTTTGGGATACATTTCCCCTGCACTTAGGGAAGGACCCTCTCATGCAAGAGAAGCCCTAAGAACCTGAATTCTGCCTCACAAGAGGTAGCATAATCTCTCTAGCCCCCTTTCTCTAGCCCCAGCCTTCCTTCTTCCCTGCAGCAGAGCCTGCAAGCGAACAGATCTGAAATCGCACAACTCCCTGGGCGTGTGGACTCAGCCTACATAGACACCCTAGCTGGGGTCTGTCAGCAAGATGAATGGTGCAGAGATGACCAGTGACCCCTAGGGACACAGCGGATGCCTCCAATTCTCTGGGCAGCCTCTAAAACCCCCTTTTCATTTTCTATCAGTGGGCGCAAAGAATTTTTCTGCGGGCCAGTAGCCCCCGTAATGAGGCCTGTGTCCTCAGCCTTCCCGAGGAGGAAAATGAGGAACAGGGCTGCCAGCCTTTGTGCTAATCCAGAAAGATGATGACGGTGACTTAGGGAAGTCTAAAAGCAGGAAAAATGAGCCCCTCCCCGGGGCTCTAACAGAGAGGCAGAGAGCCCCTGGGTCAGATCGATAAAATATATAATGGACTGAGGAGGTTTGCTTTGGGAAATCTCCCCATCTGCTCCGTCCCATTATCCTTTCTCATGATGAGGATCCTAAGTGTTTCGCCCTGTGTGAGTGCCATTTAAACACCTACCCTTGTGTGAGAGGAGGTAGGGGCCCCGGGAGGTGGACTCCCCAGTAAATATCGGTTTAAGTGGAGTAAACAAAAATGTGGTGCGCCATCCCTGATTTATTGACTCACTTCTCCCAGTCAATTTCCCGCCAGGGAGCCACATGGGGCTGCAAAGCGAGAGGTGAACAGATTGGAAGCCGTGCGAAAATCTTCCGAATGATGCTCAGAAAACAGGGTGTCATCCCTGGAATACATTGCAACACCCGGATACAAATCCCCAAGCAGAATTTACTGCGGGGTGTTTACGGTGGATCCGAAGCACCAAACACACTCAGGGCTCCCAACCAGCGCTTGATCAATGTGCCAAGGTGAGGAATTTTATTAGCCAGAAGTTTCCCTGGAGGATTTAAAGGGGGTGAGGTGGGGAGGGTGGTGTGAGTCAGAGTGAGGGAAGAACAATCCTTCCCGGGGGGACTCCCGGGGATGAGGGAGGAGAGGGGGCAGGGAGCATCTGAGTGAGTCCTCCAGCCTTCCTAGAGCCACCCAGCAGGCCAGTGGGAGGGTGGGGAAGGCAGCCACCATTGCTGATGGGGGGAAGAACTATATTGATGGCTGAGAGCCCAGGCAAGCCTGGGAAAGGAAGGTGAGCTGACAGGTAGGAAAACAGGAGACTTCTTTTCACACGGGGAAGCAAAAATAAAGGTTTTTGTTATTGATTCTTTTTTAAAGGCCTGTTATTGGTTGCAATTTTATCTCCTTTAATATTTTAAGAGAAAAAAATCCAACGTTGGCATTATTTTTCACTGTCATGTAATGGATGGTTTCTGACAACGTGACTCAAACAGAGCCCTGTGGGGAATGGGGAGTTACTTGGGTTGCATTTGGGGGGCTGCATCCGGATTCTGGTGCAAATGTGTTGCACCCAGCGTGGACCTGGGCAGAGAGCGTTTTACACTGTGACCTCCTGGCTCTGGGCTTGTGAAGTCCGTGGTTTGAGCCTTATCTGACTTGAGCTATTCTGGGTCTCAGAATACAAATGCAAGTCAGAGAGACATTGTAGAGAGAGCACGAAAACCGGAACTGTGTTTTCTGGGAGTATGCACAGTAGGGGGACAGGATATTTTAGGTGGAAAGTCTCAGAGTAATCGGCAAATTGAGGAAGCCATATTAACCTCCCCTGGAAAAGTCTGAAGGTTTAAATTTGAAATTAGATTGATTTCCCACACCTCCCAATTTCCACAAACACCAAGGTTTTGGGTTGTATTTGTTTTTGTTTTTAGAATTTAGAGGCCCTTGCCTTCTATGTCACAGGTTATGGGAAAAAAAAAAAAAAAGAGATAAGCAAGTAAATAAATTAGAGGCATTTTCAGATACTGAGAGTTTGGGGGTTGTTTTGTTTTGTTTTGTTTTTGAGACAGAGTCTCGTTCTTTCACCGAAGCTGAAGTGCAGTGACGCGATCTCCGCCCACTGCAACCTCTGTCTCCAAGGTTCAAGCTATTCTCCTGCCCAGCCTCCCAAGTACCTGGGATTATAGGCAAGCACCACCACGCCTGGCTAATTTTTGTAGTTTTAGTGGAGATGGGGTTTCACCATGGTTGGCCAGGCTGGTCACCAACTCCTGAACTCAAGTGATCCACCTATCTTGGCCTTCCAAAGTGCTGGGATTATAGGCATGAGTCACCGTGCCCAGCCCTGAGAGTTTTTAAAATAATTTAAAACTTATGACCCCATCTTTCCTTCCTTTGGTCATTCACACACTTACAGAATACTAAATAATTGAACCAATAAAGGAATGAGGAATTGTCCTCCTGTTCCACAGAACCTAGCACCCAGAAGGTCCACAGTAAATACCTGTGGACTGCCTGAACAGCTGCCCATTGGGGTGCCAAGACTGGCCATAAGGAGGATGTCATCAAGTACTGCTCTGTGAATTTATAGCCCAGTGACCAGAAAAAGAAAGAGCCAGAAAGAAGGGAGCAGAGAACCAGAGCTAACCAGGCAAATTCATGCTTGCAAATGAACCCCCAGCTGCCATCTTCATGCCTGCCTCTCTCCCCTTTGCCCATCATTACATATTACATCTCTGCCCTGCCTGTATCCATGCCCTTTGCTGTTGACTTTGCAGTTCTTTCATGAAAGGGATGGAATCTGTTTCTCCATATCCTGGCTTTGCGTTTACCCATGGGACTCACTTTCCCCATTGGAATGAGGTGGGTGTGATGGTGCACCTAGGCTTTAAGAGCACCCACGCCTTTGCTCTTGTTCTCTGATCTTTCTGCCGTCATCATGAGCAAAGCATGCCTGGCCAGCCCACTGTCTCAGGAGGAAGACAAGAGATGCATGGATCAGAGCCTCTCTGGCCAAGCCCAGTCTAGCACATCCAAGCATCCAAGCCTCTGCTGGCCCTCTGACCAATGAGAATAAATAACTACTGTTTTCTGTTTGTTTGTTTGTTTGTTTTTGAGACGGAGTCTTGCTCTGTCACCCAGGCTGGAGTGCAGTGGTGCAATCTCAGCTCACTGCAAGCTCCGCCTCCTGGGTTCACACCATTCTCCTGCCTCAGCCTCCATCCAGAGGAGCTGGGACTACAGGTGCCCACCACCACACCAGGCTAATTTTTTGTGTTTTTAGTAGAGATGGGGTTTCACTGTGTTAGCCAGGATGGTCTTGATCTCCTGACCTTGTGATCCGCCCCCCTTGGCCTCCCAAAGTGCTGGGATTGCAGGTAAGAGCCACCACACCCAGCCTAAATAACTACTGTTTTAAGCCACTGAGTTTTGGGGTCATTTGTTACGCAGCAGTTTTATAGTGGTAGCTAACCAATACACCCCATTCCTGTGGATGGTTCAGTCTTCCCTGGTGCACATGTCTGGCTCGTCTGCACCTCCCACAACACCCCCACCCATTGTTTCTCTACATGTGATTCTAGTATTGATTCCTAAGACCCTTGAGCACCACCATTGATTTTTCAGGCCACCTATTTCATCTCCTTTGAATCTTTCTTCAGTCCATGTCACCTCTTGCATCTGGTTCTGGCTTGTCCTGCCCTCATCCCCTCTCCCCTGTGCTTGGTGTTCATATCCACTCTTCGTCCCTCCTGTCCCCACTTCTCCCTGCCTCCGGGCATGGGCAGGTGCCTCCCTCCCACTGCCCTACTCCTGGAATCTCCACTGCCACCTTTGATAAAAGGGATTTAGAAATGCTCCATGAAGGCATTATTCATACACAAGACATTGTCACTGTTGACAGGGTAGGTAGGTCCCCCTGTGGGCCCTGGTGACCTCCGATGCCAAGATCTCCTGGTGGAGGGAGCCGGGCTTGTGTGGAATAGACACAGCCTTGTCTGGCAGCGCGCAGCCTCTGCCAGCAGCAAATTCTGTCGACCGCGACTGTTACTTGACAGCATTTGTTAACATATTAATGACAGAAAAAGGCTTTTTGGCAGAAATGTCTCATCCTTGAGTCCTCCTCTCTGGAAAAAAAGGAATGGGGTTCTTTGGGGAGTTAAAGCAGACAAAAAAGAGCCAAGACACCCTGGAGAGGATCCCCCGTTCTCACGCTGTCTTGGAATGTGGGCTCTCTAGGCATGACACTCATCTCTTGAGCCCCAAAGCCATGCCTTTGATTGCAAGAAACAGAGACCCACACAGGCTTGCCCAAGCAAAAGGGATGTCTCCACCAGGATCCATCAGGAAAGATGGTAAACTTGGGTTAAGATAGCCACAAAGGGCTGAAGAAAGAGATCAGAGTCCTTTCTCCGTACCCACGGCAGATTGGTTTCAGCATCCCCCACGGGTACCAAAATCTGCAGATGCTCAAATCCCTGATATAGAAGGGCATATTATTTACATGTAACCCACACACATCTTCCTGTATACGTTAAATCACCTCTAGGTTACTTATAGTACCAGATACAATGTGAGTGCTTCGTAAATAGTTGTTATACTGCATTATTTTAGCAATTTGTATTATTTTATTGTTGTATTTTCTGTTTTACAATATTTTTGATTTAGGGTTGGCAGGCCCTGTGATTGGTGGGCCCGTGGTTGGTGGAGCCGTGGTTGGTGGGGCCCATGGTTGGCGGGGCCCGTGGTTGGTAGGCCCAAGGCGACCCCACGAGGAAAGAGCTGGGCATCAACACCCTGGCCTTGCTCCTCTGTCCCTCTGAATTGCTTCTGGGCATCCTCATTGGGTGAACCAAGTGGGAAGCCAGAACCAGGGTAGGCCATTGATACTGTCCATGAAGATCAGCCTCCTGGGCTGAGAGTCGAAAGGAGCAGGTGGATCGCAGGGTTGGATATCTGTAGCTCTTAAGCACACCCAGCACAGCTCTTGGGGCCGGGCTTCACACAGTCTGATCTGAGAAGGGGTACTGGTAACAGCACCACCACGGCCATGACTCAGCCTCTCTCCATGCCTTTGGTCTCACCACCAGGTGTCAAATCAAGTCCTTGTTTCTTTGTTTGACTTCCAAAGAAATAGAGAATCTGATTGACAGAATTTCAGATTTGGGAACCAAAATACATACTACAAGAGGAAGCTGGAGAGCCTCTGGGCTGCTCGGACCAGGCTGGCAGGTGGCACACTTCCTTCCATGGGGGATGAGGGGATACGTATCTGGGAATGATGTATTCTCATTCATTCATTCTGAGTTTGAAATTTCCCAGGAGCGGATCCTGAGATGCTGATGCCAATGCAGGTAGTTTATTTGGGAGGTGGCCCAGGAAAGCATAGATAGGGGAGTAGATAAGTGAGGCGGGAGGGGAGGAGCCTGTAATAGAGAGTGTGTTACTGAGCCAACCACCGCCAAGGCACCTAGGCTTCATCCTGCTGGGTTCAGAATTAGTGACTCAGTGTAGACCATGTCCTCAGAATGGCTCCAACTCCAGTGTGGTGTGTGGTGTGTGGATATGTATAGTTATATTTATATTGTTTTTTGTTTTGTTTTGTTTTATTGCGAGACAGAGTCTTGCTCTGTCTCCCAGGCTGGAGCGCAGTGGCGCTATCTCGGCTCACTGCCACCTCCACCTCCTGCGTTCAAGAGATTCTTCTGCCTCAGCCTCCCGAGTAGCTGGGATTACAGGCGCCTGCTACCGTGCCTGGCTTATTTTTGTATTTTTAGTAGAGACAGGGTTTCACCATGTTGGCCAGGCTGGTCTTGAACTCCTTACCTCAGGTAATTCACCCACCTTGGCCTCCCAAAGTGCTGGGATTATAGCATGCCTGGTCTTATACTGTATTTTGATATATGTTATACATATATCAGTTATATTGCACATACCTATATTTTATATATATATATATAATCAGTCATTGGCTGAGTGTTACTGAATGAAGAAGGCCATCCAGTCTCAGGTTCTTTTGGACCCTACGGGCCAGAGAGGGCCCCCAGGCAGCTAGAAGTCAGGGCAGTGCACTACGATAGTGGGTTTTTTTTGTTGTTTTGTTTTGAGAAAAGGTCTTACTCTGTCATCCAGGCTGGAATGCAGTGGTGTGCCATCTCGGCTCACTGCAGCTTCCACCTCCTGGGCTCAGGTAATCCTCCCACCTCAGCCTCCTGAGTACCTAGAACAGGAGCGTGCTACCATGCCCAGCTAATTTTCTAATGTTTTATAGAGACGGGGTCTCACTATGTTGCCTAGGCTGGTCTTGAACTCCTGGCCTCAAGCAGTCCGCCCCACTTTGGCCTCTCAAAACACTGGGACTTCGGGCGTGAGCCACCGTGCCTGGCCGGTGTTTTAAGGTTTCTTGGGATTTGTCTTAATTCAGGTATGGTAAGACACATAGACACAGAAATGATGGTCATGAAAAAAGGCTTTTTATACTCACAGATTCCAGGACATGTCACACGGGGCCGCAAAAAGCAGGCCCAGGGTCAGTCGAGAGACAGAGGGGGTGGGAGAAAGTGTGTGAGAGCCTTTGTGGTGGTTTCCAAGGGAAGGCACAGGTGAGGCAGGGCGAGCAGGCTTCAGGTTGGCTGTTTGGATCATTTCAGTGGGCTCCGGGGCCCAGGAGCTGCCCCTTGTTATCCAGTACCTGGCCCTGGAGTGGTCAGGGCAGGTTGGATGGGTGGCCAGAGCATGAGAGCCCCACAGAGGAGGTGGTCGGAGATGGGTTGGTGGGTTTGCAGATGAAAGCTATACTCACAGGTGAGTCATTTACTATCTCTAGGGATCGGCTAGCCCTGGGAGGGAGGCACAGTCCCTCCAGGGTCAGAAAGACCCGAGGCATCAAAGAGTCAGAACATAGCAAAGGAAAGTCGTGGTGAGTACAAATGGTCAGGACAGAGGGGGCTTGAGGGGCGAGCACTGACGGCAACTGCTGCACCTTTATTCAACTACTTATTAGCAACCTGTTTAGAAAGTCCTGTCCCACATGCAGGGGAAATGGGGTAAATACTTGTTGCTGCCTTCGTGGTGCGTGGCACGTGGGCGTGGGGCCTCAGCACAGGGCAGGTGGAGCAGGAGCCCCGGTGCCTACAGGCGTCATCTGCGCCCTGGAGGACGAGGAGCACGTGTTTCTGGTCCCGAATCTAGTCTGGGCACCAGGGGCTCTGCTTCCAGAGCCAGTTCTCCAAGCAACTTGGCACACATATTGCAGTTCCCTGTGCCAGAGCTTGATCAGGGTGGCGCCATCCACTGGCTTCTCGGGACATGATACTTTCTGCTGAACCAACATGGCACACCCTGTGTCTTCCAAGGCCATTTGGGGAACTTGTGGATCTGCACAGGAGGCCAGTTGGCAGTGAACAGAACAGGGTGCATAGAGGATCCCAATGGTGGAAGTCGGGGCACTCAGGGAAAGCTAGTGCCTCTTGGAGAAGGATCGGTCTACATAAGGTCTCTCAATGTCAACCACTTTGTATTAAAAAACAAAACAAAACAAAAACAAACAATAACAACAACAACAACAAAAATACTTTGAATGGTGAGAGCCTCCCGAGGCTCCAAACACCAAAAGTCTTCAAACAAGGCAATTAATTTTTCCATTTAAATCCCATCCTCCCTGAAGCCATGAGAGTTTTCTCATAGTGAACTCTGAACATTCACGTGGCTGGAAGTAAATCAGTTACCCGTGCTGAAAAGAAGAGAGCCACACACTAAAAGGAAAACGAAGAAAAGTCATGAGGACGTGTGAAAAATGGACCGACTTCGAGAGTCTACTTTGGAAAACAGCATCCTTTTTCAAGCACTTCCACTTCATTTCTGAGTTAATGGGTCCCTCGTTTCCAGGGTGCCATTTTCCCTTCAAAAGATGAGAGCCAGCCTGGCTAGAGACACCCTTTCTCTCTGGGGAGCAAGTTGGGGGTGTCTCTGCTTCCAGACAGTGTGGCAAAGCACACTGCAGGCCCAGCCTCGTCCAACTCCATTGCAGCATTACACAGAAACGCTTAAAACCCAGGACAGTTGCAAATGCCTTTCTTCATTATGATTTTTTTTCCTAGAGCTTGCTAATTAAATCATTAAAATTTTATCTTCACTTAACCATGGATAAGAAGCATTTCAAACATTTAATTAGTATGCTGCAAGAGGTGCATAGAAGCCAGGAATCTTTGCAAGTTGGATCTGTTAGGAAGGGGAAGTGGATGAAGTGGGGGAGGGAAGAGGCACCAAAAAGGAGATAGCAAAAGACGATGGGGTGGCTTATTTGCAAAGGAATCTGTAACCGCTTTGCCGCCTGTGATCAGAGCTACCTACCTGGTCCTGTTCCGTGCCTCTCTCATGAGCTTTGGCTGGCAGGCACAGCCAGATTCCTACCCAGAATGGCAACCCCTGTGAGTGGGGACAGGGATGGGTGTGGGGCGGAATGCTTTTCGAGTTTCAGGGCTCTCGGCTCCACATTCTAAATTGCATTTCAAATTTTACATACATTTACATGCAGGGTCTCTGAGTTCCCTGCCCTTCTCTCACTCCCAGTCAGCAAAATAAAATATCATGAAATAAAATGGAAGTAGTGCAGCTCCAAGGTCAAGCTAATATTCAGCAGGTTGCGAAAAGGGCCCCCGGTCCCTGGGGAATAGACGCTGTCAGTTCCAGAGCCTGTCTCTAGTGCCCAGCAGCATGCTAAGTGCATCCTGTGATCTCACGTCATCCCACAACCACCCTGGGGTTTGTATTATCGTCTCCTTAGCACGACCCACCTGTGGCTGTATTCATTTCCTAGGGATCCCATCACCACGTACCATACACTTGGTGGCTTAGAACAACAGACACTGGCCAGGTGCGGCAGCTCACGCCCGTAATCCCAGCACTTTGGGAGGCCAAGGCAGGTGGATCACTTGAGGTCAGGATTTTGAGACCAGCCTGGACAACAGGGTGAAACCCTGTCTCTACTAAAAAATACAAAAAACTAGCCGGGCGAGGTGGCGGCGCCTGTAGTCCCAGCTACTCGTGAGGCTGAGGCAGGAGAATGGCGTAAACCCGGGAGGCAGAGCTTGCAGCGAGCAGAGATGGTGCCACTGCACTACAGCCTGGGCGACAGAGCAAAGACTGTCTCAAAAAAAAAAAAAAAAATCCAAAAAACCAGACGCTTATTTTCTCATGGTTCTGCAGGCCAGAAGTCCAAAGTCAAGTGCCATGCTCCCTCTGAAGCCTGCAGGGAAGGACTGTCCCTTGCTTGTTCCAGCTGCTGGGAGCCGCAGACCTTCCTTAGTTTGCACCCTCATCACTCCGATCTCCATGTGATACTCTTCCTGTGTCTCCACGCCCTCTCCCCTAAGCCTGCCGTCTCTGTCCAAATTTCTCCTTTTTGTAAGACTACAGTTATGTTGGGTTAATGTCCATCCATCCTAATGACCTCATCTTTTTGTGGTTCTTGTTCTAAGACAGGATGTCACTCTGTGAGCCAGGCTGGAGTGCAGTGGCACGATCATAGCTCACTACAGCCCCAAGCCCTGGGTTCAAGCAAACCTCCTGCCTCAGCCTCCCAAGTAGGTGGAACTGTAGGTACATGCCATGCATGCCACCATGCCCAGGTAATTTTTTTAAAAATTGTGTAGAGATGAGGTCTCACTGTGTTGCTAAGGCTGATCTCAAACGCCTGGGGTCAATCGAGGCTCCCTCCTCAGCCTCCCAAAGTGCTGGGATTCCAGGCATGAGGCACCACGCCTGGCCAAATGACCTCATCTGAATTACCTCTATAAAGACCCTGTCTCCAAGGAAGGTCTTAGGGTTAAGACTCCAGCTTACCTTATTGGGCAGAGCAATTCCACCCATAACAAGAGCAAGGAGAGGTTTAGAAGGTAGTTCAAGGTCACACAGCTGGTAAAAATGGGAGCTGCATTTCCCGCCCAGTCCAACCTCAGCACAGGCTCCTGATGCCTTGCTGTCAGAGGTGTGCCCTCTAGGCCTCAAGCTCAGGGGCTTCTGCCACCCCCAGGAGGGTCCCAGTCCTGGAGCCGGCCAAGACCAGTCAGCAGGAGGACATCAGGCAGGCCCAGAGCCACCCAGACCAAGCATGACAGGCGCTGGCCAGACGTGATGGACACCCAGGAGCCTGAAGCTTCAGGCTTCTCTCATGGACAGAGGTGCTACCATCTTTGTCACCGCTGTTTTGTGGGATTTCAGGGCCTGTGCAAATAAAATCTCCACATGCAAGAATTTCATCGGGTCCTGTCAAGGGGGCTGCCTACCCCCCGCCTCCAGGTCTACCGACTGCCTTGCTCACACCTGTCCTCACAACCACTTTGTCCCTGGATAGGACAAAGTGGTCCTGAGATGGACAGCCAAAATTCACACAGAATTCACAAAATTCACACAGGACTCATATCCTTGTGTCCTAAGCCCTGGAAGCACCTGCCCAGGGGCCCCGGCATCACTCAGGGGTTGACGGGAAGGGAGGGGCCTGACAAGACTTGTGGGTCCCCCACAGTCAGTCCCTGCCTTCCAGGGCCATCTCTGTCACCCCCACCCCCATCCTGCTTGGAAGGAAGCTCCAGGGTGCAAGCAGGAGAGAGGAAGCTGGAGGAGCCATGGGAAGGGGTGGTCCGGGACAGCCGGACATCCACTGTCACTCCCAGCCAGCTCAGGACAAGCGGACAGTGTTTGGGATGCTCCACGCTCCACTTTCATTCCTACTCTAAATAAATGGCCCCCGGGCACACTGGCCAGCTTTTCTACAGGAGGGGATTAGAGAGAGGAAGGAGTTCCCATTAAACACAGCAATTATTCAAAATCCTTCTAGGCAACATGTAGGAGACAGTATGCAAAACACTTTAGGAGACTCCAGCACCGAACCACGACGATACTGTCAAGTTGTAGATATGGTGGGAGAAAGAACGCCCCATGTCAGCACTCACAAAACACAACACACGTGGTTTAGAGCAGCAGCGACAGCTATTAACCTGATATGTTTGTTATGAGATAATGAGAGCATGCAGTTCTTTGATTTCCACTAACTACCTGGGGAGCTTAACCCTTCCTCTGGAACGGTCTCTGGTCTCCCGGCTGGAATGTGTTATCTGATTGTAGGCCTTCTTGGCAGGCTCCCTGGTGTGCTACAATTTCAGATGCTTGGGTGATAGACTCTGATCTCAGTGAATTACTGAGATTTCTTCAAAGAGCTGGGGGAGCAGGTGAGCTGAGGGGGGAAGGAAGTGTCACCACTGGTAGATGGAGTACGGGAACAAACCCTCTGTCCATTGTAATCACCTGCCACAGTGAACCTGCAGTTTTGTCTTGGTCAAAGAAGGAGGTTGGGCACGGAAAGGCAGGTCTGTAGGGCTCCACACAGTCGTTGGTGTAAAAACACAGGCTCTGTGCCCCTCCTCTATTCCCCAGCAGGTAAGAATTCACTTCATTCCTCCCAGGAGCCAGGCATATGTGAATCCAAGGAAGTCCTGGTTAGGCCGAGCATGGTGGTTCACACCTGTGATCCCAGCACTTTGGGAGGCCAAGGCAGGAGAATCACTTGAGCCCAGGAGTTCAAGACCAGCCTGGGCAAGATAGTGAGACCCCTATCTCTACCAAAAATAAATACATAAATAAAATGCAAAAGTTAGCCAGGTGTGGTGGCACACATCTGTAGTCCCAGCTACTTGGGAGGCTGAGGCAGGAGAATCACTTGAACCTGGGAGGTAGAGGCTGCAGTGAGCTGTGATTACGCCACTGTACTCCAGCCTGGGTGACAGAGCAAGACCCTATCTCAAAAAAGAAAGAAAGAAAGAAAAAGTTCTGGTTATACTTGGACTGAGCAGAGAGAAGGCAAAAGTCACTTCTGTTTCCTTGTTAGAAGGGAACATTTCAAAGAACAGAAAGCAGACAGGACTTTGTGAGGTGTGTCCTGAACCTTCTCTCGCCCGGAGCACTCCCTGGGGCCTTATTGATGCCCTAGGCAGTTTGCATTGCAGAGAATCTGAGGAGTGCTCCTAATTGGTCCTGCATGCTTCTGAGCCAGTCCACTCCATCCTCTGTGGTTACCGGCTCCTCTCTCACCATAAAACCAGAGCATATGGCTCTCGTAGCCAGAGGGGTTTCTCCGCTGACTGGGAGCTGTGACAAGCCTGCCACGTTCCCTGTCGGGCCCAGTGGGTAGTGTCTGGGGTCAGAGCCCACTCTTGTGTCTTCACCACACACAAGGTTCTGTGGGGTCTTGGCCAATGATACTCTGAAGGTCTTAGACTTGCAGCTGGAGGGGTGGTTGTCCATGTACTGGCAAGCATTCCCTGGAACTTGGTTCAAAACCTGCACCTCCTGAGTCAGAATCCACGTATGCCCTTGGGACTTTCACGTGATCTGTGTGCTTCTCATGACTTGAGAAGAGCTTCTCTGGGTGTGCTGGTCCATTGTCACACTGCTAATAAAGACATGCCTGAGACTGGGTAATTTATACAGGAAAGGCGTTTAATGGACCCACAGTTCCACACAGCTTGGGAGGCACAATCACGGTGGAAGGCAAGGAGGAGCAAGTCACATCTTACATGGATGGCGGCAGGCAAAGAGAGCTTCTGCAGGCAAACTCCCCCTTATAAAACTATCAGATCTTGGCCGGCGTGGTGGCTCATGCCTGTAATCCCAGCCCTTTGGGAGGCCGAGGCGGGTGGATCACCTGAGGTCAGGAGTTCCAGACCCGCCTGGCCAACATGGTGAAACCCGGTCTCTACTGAAAATACAAAAAAATTAGTTGAGCATGGTGGTGGGTGCCTATAATCCCAGCTACTTTGGGAGGCTGAGGCAGGAGAATCACTTGAACCTGGGAGGCAGAGGTTGCAGTGAGCTGAGATGGTGCCATTGCACTCCAGCCTGGGTGACAAGAGTGAAACTCTGTCTAAAAAAAAAAAAAAAAAAAGCCTATCAGATCTTGTGAGACTTATTCACTATCACGAGAACAGCATGGGAAAGAGCTGCCCCCATAATTCAATTACCTCCCCCGGCACTCTCCTATAACACGTGGGAATTCAAGATGAGATTTGGGTGGGGACACAGTCAAACCATATCACTGGGGTTCACGAACCCGAGCTAAACAGCACCCCCTCCCAAGGAGGGAAGAAGGGAAGGAATCTCCAGACCTGCCCAATCTAAAGGAAAAGCCCCGAAAGGGGAGGCCCCTTGCTCATGGGAAAGAAATGGCGGCTTTTCGAGCTGGGCTACTTACAGGGTAAAGTGAGGCATGTACTCCACAGCGTGGGTAAGAGATGACACCCTCCAGGAGAGAAAGCAAGTGTTTTGAGAACGCAAGACAAAAAATAAGAGAAGCTCCTTAATCCCCTGTCATCCTCCTACCCACCTGGGACGTGCTTAAGATGCTACCCTCTGCCCTCTACTGGGCTCCATGGGAAATACAACTGGGTGGGTGGGTGGGTGGAGAAGAAAAGAGATTATCACCAGGTCTGAAGTGACGGCACAGCATTTCTTTTTTCTTTCTTTTTTTTCTTTCTTTTTTCTTTTCTTTTTTTTTTGAGATGGAGTCTCGTTGTGTCACCCAGGCTGGAGTACAATGGCGCAATCTCGGCTCACTGCAACCTCCAGCTCCCAGGTTCACACCATTCTCCTGCCTCAGCCTCCCAAGTAGCTGGAAATACAGGCGCCTGCCACCATGCCCGGCTAATTTTTGTATTTTTAGTAGAGACAGGGTTTCACCATGTTGACCAGGCTGGTCTCGAACTCCTGACCTTAGGTGATCTGCCTGCCTCGGCCTCTCAAAGTGCTGGGATTACAGGCATGAGCCACTGCACCTGGCCAGTATTTCTTTTCTTTTTAATTTTTTCTTTCTTTGTTTTTTCTGTAGAGATGGGGTCTCCCTATCTTGCCCAGGCTGGTCTCAAACTCCTGGGCTCAAGTGATCCTTCTGCCTTGGCCTCCCAAAGTCCTGGGATTACAGGTGTGAGCCACCACGCCCGGTCGCAGTGATAATTTCAATAACAATAAAGACTATGATTAATCATCATAGCCAACATTTACTGAGGACAACTCTGTTCCAGGCACTCTATTCTGGGGTCTTCATTTTTGTTTT